TTATATATATATATTTTAATCCTCACCTGAGGATTTTTTCATTGATTTTTTTTTAGATAGAGTGAAAGGGAAGAAGGGAGAGAAAGAAAGAGAGCGAGAGCGAGAGCGAGAGCGAGAGCGAGAGAGAGAGAGAGAGAGAGAGAAGGAAACATCGATGTGAAAGAGACACACTGATTGGTTGCATCCAGCACAACCCTGACTGGGGCAGGGATCAAACCTGCAACTGAGGCAGGTGCCCCTGACCGGGAATTGAACCCAACACTCCTCGGTCCATGGGCCCACACTCTAACCGCTGAGCCAAATTGGCCAGGGCATCAATGCCAATTTTAGACAATTATAGAAATACAGAAAAATCTTATTCAACTAAATAAATAATGTCTCAAGATACAAATCAGCCAATAAGTAATATTTTTACGTTATTTTTACTGCCACTACCTGAAAAGCAGAAAAATAATAAACACTGCTGATAACAATTCATACTTCTAGTACATCTCAAGAAGAAATGGGACTATGTGTAAGAATTGAAACTAAGAAGAAAAAAATCAAAGTCATTCAACCTGGGGAAAAATACTGAACAAGGTCTAAATTCTAAAAATTCAGTTATAAAAAACACACTGTTAGCCAAAAATCATGTATGAAAGTCCTAGAAAGCAACCTTTTAATCTGTTTTTGAAAAATTATAGGACACTTCATCATCTTGGAAATCTCAGTACTAAAGGTTCTTTCTTGGTTTTAACTTTTTGGTAAACTGATAAGGTAATTGCTGAAAACCAAAATGGTATGTATAAATGTCTTATACTAATTTTAATAAGTGCAAACAGAATTATCTTATTTTTTATTTTGTAAAGTAGATCAAACTTACATGATCATAGGTCAAACAAAAATAGATTTTGCTAAAGTTTTTTTTCCTTTTCAAAGAATTAAAAAAAAAAAAATCAATACCAGAGTACTAGGAAAAGCCCAGCTAAATGTTTCTTGACAATGCCTTGGAAAAAGTTGGTAAGCAGTAGTAAATACTGTATTAGAGAACGGAGCATGACAATGCACTTAGTACACATGGCCAACCTTTGTGCTTAGGACCAGGGCAACTGATAAACTTACAGAAAAGTGGAAGCTTCCTTGAAGAAAAGATTTAGAGAAAGTTGTGTGTATGTGTGTGTGTGCGCGCGCGTGCGCGCACGTACAAAACACATACTATTTTTATCTACTGAAAATGTATAAATAGCCCGGCCAGTGTAGCTCAGTGGTTGAGCACTGACCCATGTACCAAGAGGTCACCAGTTCGATTCCCGGTCAGGTTCGATGCCCCAGTTGTGGGCCCATTCCCCAGTGGGGGGCATGCAGGAGGTGGGCAATCGAAGTTCTCTCTCATTGATGTTTCTCTCTCTCTCTCCCTCTCCCTCTAAAAATAAATAAAGAAAAAAAATTTTTTTTAATGTATAAATTAACCGATAACTTTACTGGAAAGTAACTGTAAATAAAAACAGCTTCATATGTTCATTTTTGAAATGAAAATTGGCATAACAGCTATTCTGTTACTTCAAAGATAAAGAATTTAACTAAAAATAAGTTTTAAATTTCTTTAATTATCCCCACTTGTCTTTTGATGTGTTTCACAACCTATTATTGGTATACAAAAAGTAAAAATCTCTGAACAGGTACCATAGATTTCGATAGAGACAAGAAGCTGCAGGAGCGTCTGCTTGATGGTGGGTAGCAAGTTTTGACATGAACAATGTTGTTCTATTTAAACCTGTATGGCTGCTGAGTGTGAAGGAGCCGGTTCTTTAAGGCCATCCTTTAAACAATTGGGAACTGTAAGAGATCCATAAATACTAACATGCATTTGTTTTAACTGGGATGTGCTGACCAGAGGAACAAAGAATGTCTTGAACATCAGCTGAGCCTTCTCTCCATAATCTCACTTGATCTGTAATTTAGAAGTCAAATTCATTCTCCAAACAGGAACCTCTTTCCTTGCTACCTTTAGAAGCAGAAAACTTGTTTTCCTTTTCTGACTCGGTAAATAAAAATAATGATATAAACAACCAACTTGAATTTTCTTTTAATTATTTAACTTCAGGCGTTCTTGGCACAGTCCTTTACAAACTAATTTGGGAAGATAACATCGACACAAGCTCTGGTTAGCCAGCCACTTGACCCTGGTTTTTAAACTGGAGAAGGAAACGTCAAAAGGCCCAGTGTTTTGCATCTACGCCCCTTATTCTTTGCCAAAGTGCTCCTCACTGACCAAGGCTAGTTGCGGACTGTTTACTGCACACCAGGAGCCTGCTCATCCCCAGATGCTGCGGTGTGAAGGCACACACTCGTGCACAAGGTCCCCCCCCACCCCCTCCCAGCCGGCCACTACCTGGTCTCTGGATTCCATCCTAGAGGTCCTAGTTCTATTAGCTCCTGGCCTGCAACATCAGTTTCTTTCTCTCCATGAACTCTACCTGTTATGATTACAAACCTGCATACATTTCATTCATCAAAATATTACAATACTTCAAATGAACTGAAACAAACAAAACACCCAACCCATTTTGGACTACATCCCCTCCTCTAAACAACGGCCCTCCCCTCCCTTCCCTCACAAAAGGCACAAAGACTCTTCCTCTTTTCTTTCATCTTTCCTTCTGCTTAGCTGTCACAGGATCTTTTATAAAGTCTGTTTATATCATTTTCCTGCTTATATTCCTGCAGTCACTCCCCATCATTTTCAAGAGAAACTGTGAACTGCGTATTATTGGGCAGTTGATCAGACCTCTTCAGCTGAGTCTCTTAAACCACCCTTAGCCTCTCCTCCACTCTATATACTCCAGGTGCGCTGAGCCCACGGCTGCACCTGCCGCGCTCCTCCACGTTGTTCTCACTGTCCTGCATGTCCTGCACATGTTGTTTTGTTTCTCTTCCAGGAGCACCCTTATCTTGATGTCCCTGCCCAGTAAACTTCTACTTAACCTCCTAGCCTTACTTCAAAAGTCCTCCTCCTTCTGAAACCTTCCTTGATCCAGATCTCCCACATGGTCCGTGGCTTCCTCTGCCCTGGACAGCACCCTGTGGTCCACATCTGAAGCTCCTTAGGAAGAGCACCTGAACCAAATTTATGACTTTCTCACCAGCCCATTTCACAGCTGAGTTAATACACATTAACTAGGTATGTAGTTAATGATAATCATTGAATTTTTATTCTGTTCTATCCTCCTAAATGTAGAACTTTTGTCTCTCATTCTCTGAATCCCCAGCACCCAGCAAGTACCATATAACTAGATCTCAGTAAAGATTAGCAACTGTTGAAGGAACCAACACTACCTTCCTCCAAACTACTGCTCTTCCAACAGATCTGCACGTAGATGGCAGATTACTTTTCCTGGTTTACCAACGTACCATGGTTCCCGTCATGGATCCCTCCCCAGCTGAAACTCTCACTGGCTTCCTGTTACCTGTAGGATGAGACCAAGTTTCCCCACCTTAGTTCTTCTGCATAGAAATGCTCTTTCTTTGATCCTCATAGGAGCTGTCCTCCTCCCCCTTCATATCTTAATTCAGGTCTTCCCTGTCTACTCAATCTAAAATTGTCTTTGAGTCAGTCTATTGCATGAACATGTGTTCGTTTCTCAATGCCCCCATTTATTAGAGCAAAACTGACCTTCTTCACAACATTTTTCTCTTTTCTCTAAGTGTCTTGCTATTGCCTCCCTCTCTAGAAAGTGAGGGCCAGAAACGCAAGGGCCTGGCTGGCTTTGTTCACTGCTGCATCCCATCTCAACACTTCCTGGAACCAGAGGATAGGTGCCGAACCTTTGCTCAATGCAGGCGAGACTGAATGTGAACATAATTCCAGCTGGCAAGGTCCTCCATGGGCTGGCCTCACTCCACCTCCCCAGCCTTCCCTCCAGCAAGCCTATGTGACACCTGTGTCTGCTCTTTCCCAAACACCTACTGTGCCTACTAATTAGGCTTATCTATAAGAGCCTTGTCTTCCTTTTCTTCCAATTTAAATTATCCTCATCTTTATTATTTATCTGTTTTATTTTATTTTTGTATGTGCCCCTAGCGGGAACTAACCCGGGACTCTCTGGTCCGCAGGCTGATGCTCCAACCGCTGAGCCAAACTGGCCAGGGCTATTTATCTATTTTAATGTCTTAAATAGCTTTTAATTCTTTAGAGCTGTGTTATAATGAAGTATTTTAAATTTCAGTAATAGATTTTAAGTTATAATAAAAATTCTTAAAATGAAAAATTCTTTATGCTATGAATAAATAAGATTCAAACTCCATTTTACCTTTTTTTTTTTAATTCTCACCTGAGGACATTTTCCCATTTTTTGTTCAGATAGAGTGGGAAGGAGAGAGAGGAACTGAGAGAGAGAGAGAGAAACATCGATGTGAAAGGGACACATTGAATGGTTGCCTCCCGCAGGACCCAACCAGGGCCAGGGACAAACTGCAACTGAAGTACGTGCCCTTAGTGGAAACCGAACCCGGGTCTCTCCGGACCGCAGGCTGATGCTCCAACTGCATTTTACCATTAAAAAAAAAAAGGAAATTGCATACCTTTTTCTTCAAGTGTACCAAAGAAGTTTGCCTTGTGCAACATAATGGTTAAAAGGCGACATTCAAAATTTGTTAGTGAGAGTTAGTTCTAGTAACAACTATGATGTCCACTTTAACTGCAGATAATATTGGCCACTAAACATACCAGGGAAAGGCATTCAAAATGTAACTCTTCCAACTTTTAACTGTGAGCCTAGCATGGTCCAATTGATTATATACTTTGTTTTAATATAGAAATAAAATATAACAAACCAGGAACACTTCTGTGATAAGAGCTATTTGACTATTTTCAAAACTTGGAGTGAATTTTAAACAGTCTTACTGATCTGCATCCTGTTGACCACAGTGGTAGATAAATACAAACCCACCTACGTGTGTGGGCCTCTACACCGGAAAAGAGAATGCAACATGCAACGTGGGAACAAAGGAAACGTGCCAACCTGGACACCAACTTGGCTCCACCCGCGTCCTCAGCTGAGTGCATGTCCTCCCAGCAGGGTTTCCTACGGCTGAGCCGCAGGCTGACCTGGGGAACACCATCAGGAAGCTCTGGCTGTGGTGCCCGGGGGACTTGAATAGACCCCTCACTCTTGGACTTTGGGATCTAGAAAATAAAATTTAAAGAAAGAGGAATTTTTAAAAAAATCTTCAAATTAACTACTGAAGATAATTTCTTCTAATTTATTAACAATCTCATGTATTAACACTCCAACCTAGGTATGGGTTTTATAAATCTAAGTATCAATTCTAAAATACATATAAAAATTCTTATATAGCGAAGAGCACAGTAAGGGGGCTTCCAAACCATATATGGTCCATACTCCTCTCTCCTGACTCTGATACAAATCATCCTCAGGCCTACCACTCCTTGGAATGATCATTCTATGTAATGAAAGATTATGAGAGTATATCAGACAGCAACCTGGAGTAAAGGAAATAAGAAACAGAAAGAGGCAGAAAAATAACAGATTGAGAACCACTGAAATAAAGAATACTAATATATTCTAGAAATATTTACTACCAACAAATAACTACACACCAGTTTGCTGACAATTTCTATTGTAATTCTCTTTGTAGAGCAAATTATGATATAAAAATTGTTTAATTAAGAAACTATATAGGGCCTGGCAGGTGTCACTCAGTGAACTGAATGTCATCCCATGGACTGAGAGGTCCTGGTTCGATTCCTGGTTGGAGCAGTTGCCCAGGTAGCAGCATCGATCCCCAGTGAGGGGTGTGCAGGAGGCAGCCCATCGATGTCTCTCTCTCACATTGATGTTTCTATTTCTCTCTCTCTCAAAAAAAAAAAAAAAATCAATAAAAAATATTTAAAAATTAAGAAATGAAAGAAAATAAATAGAAAAACCACAACCTTTTTAGTCCTCTGACATTTCTGAAATCATGGGCAACACAAGGGGCAAATACCGGTGTGCTGCTTGTCATATCTGAGGTTATATGCTCCCTCCAACCCCAGAAATACCCTCATGCTCTTAAAGAATAAGAATTGTAAAGAATGTGGATACAACCAATATTCGTTTCCTAAAAATGTATATAAATCATGTCAGAATTGCAGGAAAGTTTCAAACCCTGGGATCAACTGTGTATGTTCCACGGGAAGCTTTCTCTCATCTCGAGAACTTCTCTCAGGCTGGTCTTTCCACCTTGAATGTCATCAGCTCAGCACTGGCCACCATCAATTGCATAAGACCCAACCAAACCCTAACTTCCTTTGAAGTTGAGATAAGAATTCACTACCCATAGAGCATCTCCGACTAACCTCAGCTCTTAACCAGCTTTCCCAACTCTGAATTCCTGTAACGCTATGTACACTTGATTACATGCCATCTGATATCTTAAGCTTAGTTCATAATTATGCTGTCTAATGACCTCAACCAGATCTCTGGACACAGATTACAGCCTCATGCTCTTCTTATTTCTCCTCTTCCATCCCTTTTCTCTCTTCCTCTCTGTACGTTATTATTTTTAACATTTTTACCATAAAGTCTAGCAATGTTTTAAAACCATTAATAAATAGTTATTGTCAGATAACACAAGTTTCAATTACAAGATATTCCCAAGACACTTACTGACCAAGAAGTTAGGATAATGAACAATTTAAAAGAGGCTAGAATGAGTACAACTATATATATGAATATATAAAAATTCATATCTCTAGGATTACGTAAAAATAATATATACAAATAATTTAGTGCCCTGGCTGCGAGGCTCAGTTGGTTAGAGCGTCATCCATGCATCAGAACGTCTTGGGTTCGATTTCTAATCAGGGCACAAAGCTAGGTTGTGGGTTTGATCACAGTTGGAATGAGAAAGGGAGGTGACTGAATGATATATCCCTCTCACATGGATGTTTCTCTCTCTCTCTCTCCCCCTTCCTCCCTCTTTGAAATCAATTTAAAAAAATAATTTAGCAAAGAGTTACATTTAACACAAAGCAAATATGTGATAATAGCTAGCTTTCATTAATACAGTTGTCATGTGAAATATGCTCAAGCCTGATGATTACCAATTAATAGTTTGGTTGCATAGCTCTATAGGGCATTCAAAAGCTCATAAAAACCAAGGCAAGAAAAATTTTAAAATAAATTATAAGCTAACTATAGTTCATAGAGATATTTGCCAAGATTACTTCTAAAAGAAATATTCATATAAACAGCAAGAGAACCTGAAAAGTACAAATATATGCTATTATATACTTTATAAAGGGACTCCTTTTGCTGTAATTATTTTTCATAGTAATAGACATGAAAAGTTAATTGAAACATGGAAAACAGTACAATTTCGAACTAGTTAGCTAAAAAACTCATATCCAGACGTAATTTTCTCAATATTAAAACAAATAGTATGGCAGTTGTTTGACTACATTTCATAGTGTTAAAATAAGGACATGATATTTTAGGTTCAGTAAAAACTTTTGAGTTCTGAATTCAATTCAACGATGTATGTAAAGCGAACTATTCTAAGATAAAAAAAGGTAACATGCAGCTGATTCCATTTAGTCCGTTCATATCAATCTAAGAGTATTTCTGTGACAATTTAATTTTTATAGAAATAACACAGATGTGCCCTGGCCGGTTTGGCTCAGCGGTTAGAGTGTCGGACTGCGGTCCTGAGAGACCCGGGTTCGGTTCCCGCTAAGGGCGCGTACCTCGGTTGCAGTTTGTCCCCGGCCCTGGTTGGGTCGTGCGGGTGGCAGCCACTCGATGTGTTCCTTTCGCATTGATGATTCTCTCTCTCTCTCTGTTCCTCTCTCTCCCTCCCACTCTGCCTGAACAAAAAATGGAAAAATGTCCTCGGGTGAGGATTTAAAAAAAAAAAAAAAAAAAGAAATAACACAGATGTGATGGTCATTCACCATGAATTTTACAATGTAAACTCATTGTTAATATATACCAAAGTAGTACCAAGAACTGAATTTGTCCCCAGAACCTGAAAATACCACACAAAGCTTATGTGGTATTTATGAACTTTGTTAGAAAAAAAGTAGCTCAGTAACTCTAAGACTCTTAGAAATGTACATTTTTAGAGGTGATTAATGAAATACTCTTGAGGGTGTACCTTGAAAACTATACATTTTCACTATAGAAATTACTACAGAAAAAAAATGATCAGAGTGATTTTAAAACCTGCTGTTTTACTGATGTAATTAATTTTAGTATAAATGTGTTGACTTGGAGAGAAAGGAAGAGATTGCTCTCTTCACTGGATCTGGAATTGAGCCTTTCAGGAACATGTGATCACAGACTTGGCCTTATAAAGTGGGTAGAGGGGATAGTTTTATTTTTATGCTTCTGGGTATTCATTTCAGATTGTATATAGTTTGCTGGTGAACTCTGAGGTGGTGCTCAAGGCCCCTTTCATCACAGAGCTCTCTGAGGAGGAGGAGGACACCAGTCTGCCAAGCCCAAGGGTACAGGGAACATGTTATTACAGTGTGGCTTTAAGCAGTGGTTCTCACTTGTGGCCAAGTTTGTCTGTGGACTCTTTTGGTCGTCATAACTGGAGTGCGGGTGTGTGTCATTGGAATCCAGTGGGCAGAGGCCAGGGATGTGACTAAACATCCTACACTGCGCAAGACAGCCTACAATGAAAAAGAGTTACTTGGTTCAAAATCTCAGCAGAGCTGAAGTTGAAAAACCCTGCTTTAGAGGGAATGGTAAGACAAAACTTGTATTGAGGCAAATCTTCTCTTAATATACTTTTATTCTAGTTCCATCCTCTGTTTATTATTATTATTTTTTAAAACAGATTTATTGAGGTGTAATTTATATACCATAAATTCACTTTTAAAAATTGAGATACAGTTGACACATATAACATTATATTAGTTGTAAACATAATTTGATATTTGTATATATTGTGAAGTAATCACCACAAGACATGTAATTAACATCTGTAACCTAGAGATTTTGAGCCAACAAATGCCATTTTGGGGTGGATAAAGTATCAAGATAGAGAGTGGGAAGGTTAGCATCCGAGAAGCAGAGATGGCATGTAAATAACAGGATCATAATGGTGTTGTGGCAGAAATTCGGTCGGCGGGAAGAGACAGACTGCACGCACTTAGAGGATTAGAAAAGGACTGTTCAATATGCACTGGTGCTGTTATTATTATTATTTTTTTGCCATTGGCATGTTAAATGCAGTGGGCCAAGATCAACTTTTAGCAGGAAGGGCCTCACAGGGCACTTAGGCCTGCCTTGCTTAGGCAAGTGTCACTAGTGTGTCATGAGTTCCAATTAAGCTGTTGGGCAGGGACTCCAATAGGGCCCAAAGCCTTCCTGTGACAAACAGTGGCTGTGTCTGGAAAGACGCACCGGCAGCCGTCTCCTGATGTGTGGCTGCAGAAGGAAAACGCCACGGGCTTGGGATTCTGATTGGGTGGCCAGCTTCCTCTTTCCACTGGAGATATTCACTAATTCACACCACACTTTGCTTCTTTATTTAAGTGATTTCTTCAGGATAACTTTTATACTTGAGGGTGAAACTATAGAAGCCCCTAAACCATCTATGAAATGTGTTTTTGGTCAGAAGAATTCTGCCATTGGCTATTTGAGATAAGGATCTAGGCACACACCGTGTAATTTATGTGTATAACTAAAATACTAACAATTCCAGAAATCGTAAAAAGACCACATTCCACGCATGTCTTTGCAGGTATGGGATAGTCTGATTGAGAAGTTGAGTGACTCTAGAATTTAGATGTCGGGGAATAGAAACAAAAGGGTCACTTTAAGAATATAAAATTAGAAAATATTCTCTTAGATGCTGTTTTAAACATTTAGTGAGCATTTACTCTGTGCTAGGCATGTTTTCAAGATAGTTACATAGATTAGTTCTCACAACATTTAATTCTCAGAACAACCCATAGAGACAGGGACTATTAGTATTTTATCATCATCATTTCACAGATGAAGAAACTGAAGAACAAAGAGTTTGAACTATTTGTCCCAGTGAGTAGTGGAAGAGCTACAATTACAACCCAGATGATCGAGCCTCAGCACCTGTGCTTACCACTGTTCTCTATATTTGGTTTCATGTTAAGTATTAGAATTGCAAAAGGAAAAGACATTTTTGGATAAAAGT